AAGAATCAAACATCATCCAAGGACAACCTTTTCGGCGAACCAGAGATTCTGGCCTAACTTCGAAAAAGGGATTGGGTTTCATTTCATCACTCTTCAGTTAATCATAATGTTCAGCCTACCCTTGACGTTTAGGATGGAACCATTTAGGCCATCCGCATTAAGACGAAATGCATGGCATTGTTCCCAGATACAAACGTTGCTTAGCCAATTTAGTTTGGATTGACATCAAAGTGCACTTGCCTGACATGGGGGCTGCTTCTTTTTTCGAAGTAAGGTCGAAATTTCGGAGTTCGCTAGAGATTTGTCTGAAGTGCAATTGATTCTCTGAACTGGAAATCACATTTGTTGGCCGCAAGGAAGCCTCACGTGTGCGTTGTGTGCCTCACGAGCAAGTTGTGCTTCGCAAAGACAGAAAGCGCTTTTTACTAATTCACTTTATTTTTTGCTTTTCGCAGCGTGAAACATTTTCACGAGATCATCAGGTCCACCCTTGACAGGTGGAGCGCGGTCACGCAGCGAAAGATGTTTCGCGCTGCAAAAAGCGCAAAAACCGCTTCTTGTCCTAGTGAATCGCACCATTACAGCTCCATAGACATGTGCCGATATAATGACATGGTCAGGAGTCTTTTCACTTTTTAGCCATGCCGTCAATAGGCAAAAGGGGAAACACTGCAATACCAAACCGATCACACAGAATTATTGCCTGTGCGCTTGCATCACTACGCTGCTCTCTTTCGCTTTACTTCACCAGAAACCGTTGCCAGGAGTACAGGGCAGCGCTAAGCCGAAGACGAGAGTAGCAATGTAAATGTTTCTTGCTTGTGGCCAGCCTGTTGAATTTACCAGGTATGTGTGCAACATCGGAGCAAGCTTGCACTTTTCTACGATGGCAGATTATCAGCAAAAAAAAAACAACACAACGAAAGCAACACAATCACCATGCTAATCAATACAGTTGTGCTCAGATGAACGAGTAATTCTACCTATTTCAATGGAAAAGAAACTCACTTGACATCATCGTCTTCAGGGAAGCAGCAGATTTTATTGGAATGGAATTGAGCTATCCTTTTGTCATAGGAGATCACATCATGAATGAAATGGCTCTCAACAAATACGATCGAAAAACCACTCTGAATTGTAAAGATGAAGGTATTCCAAATCTCAAAAACGGTTGCCGAGGTTTGTTAGATTTTTCCCCTTCTTTCTACATTATCCAATTAGGTCATCAGATTATTCTACATATGTATCCACAGTCTTATGTTTGTTTTATACTCAGTTAGACCCTCAAGTTCCTGGTGATCAGACAGTTCAAAGATAATCGTACGGGCAGGGCAGGACGGAAGAAGATAAGGGATTCTATTACCCTTTCTGCTGCTGTTGGGCAGGATCAGGACCACCGGCTCTTCTGTTCAGTGAACTATATCGATGTAACGCCCGTTATTCATTTTTCTTGGGACGTGTTTTAAGCCATGTGCTGAGCTGTTGACTAGGTGCCCTCTAGGCCTAACCATATTTATCAACAAGGAAGGAGATGCTATACCGATATCGATCCGCCACTACTTACACCCCGTATAAATCAAATCGAGAACTGAAAAGAAATTTCTCAATTCTCTCACAAGTGAGTAATAGGAAGACAAACGTACATGGAGTGAAATATTTACACCAATGGAGTAGAATAATCTGATGACCTAATTGGATAATGTAGAAAGAAGGGGAAAAATCTAACAAACCTCGGCAACCGTTTTTGAGATTTGGAATACCTTCATCTTTACAATTCAGAGTGGTTTTTCGATCGTATTTGTTGAGAGCCATTTCATTCATGATGTGATCTCCTATGACAAAAGGATAGCTCAATTCCATTCCAATAAAATCTGCTGCTTCCCTGAAGACGATGATGTCAAGTGAGTTTCTTTTCCATTGAAATAGGTAGAATTACTCGTTCATCTGAGCACAACTGTATTGATTAGCATGGTGATTGTGTTGCTTTCGTTGTGTTGTTTTTTTTTTGCTGATAATCTGCCATCGTAGAAAAGTGCAAGCTTGCTCCGATGTTGCACACATACCTGGTAAATTCAACAGGCTGGCCACAATCAATAAGCATTTATATGCTACTCTCGTCTTCGGCTTAGCGCTGCCCTGTACTCCTGGCAACGGTTTCTGGTGAAGTAAAGCGAAAGAGAGCAGCGTAGTGATGCAAGCGCACAGGCAATAATTTGTGTGATCGGTTTTTTTTGTAGTGTTTCCCCTTTTGCCTATTGACGGCATGACTGAAAATAGTGAAAAGACTCCTAATCATGTAATTCCATCGGCACGTGTCTGTGGTTGCCTGGATGCGGGATTAGCGAGTGCTCTTTGCTTAAAGACGATCGCCCATGACGACTACCCGTGGTGCTCGTAGGGGTGCGGTTCACTAGGACAGGAAGCGACTTTTGCGATTTTCGCAGTGCGAAAAATTTTTCGCCGTGGCGTGACCCGTTCCACCGTGCAAAGGTGAGCCCGAGGTATCTCGTGAAAATAGTTTCAAGATGCGAAAACCCGCGAAAATAAAGTGAATTAGTAAAAAGCGCTTTCTTCTGTCTTTGCGAAGCACAACGTGCTCGTGAGGCCCGCAGCGCACACGTGAGGCTTTCTTGCGGCAACAAATGTGATTTCCAGTTCAGAGAATCAATTGCACTTTAGACAAATCTCTCGCGAACTCACCATCAGAAACTTGCGCGAGCCTAGGCTATGGCATACATTATTTCACAGTTTGCGCCATAGCCGAGAAACGCTCGAAACGAACGAATCTGCGCAAATGCGAAAAGAATGAAGTGCGTATCGATCCACAAAATGGGAGGAGGCTTCGAATCGCGCATTGGAATCTGCGAATCCTCTTGAAAGGAATTAGTGTCTATCGATCAGTCAATCGGAGATCGCAGCATCGAAACGGCGGTGCGAAAATCCTCTAGCAACGCTAATAGGGCGTGGTTTACTACGTCGATACGTATCTAAACCTTTTCGCATCCGCGTTCGCGCGTGTGGAAATTCACCTGGTCGATACGTATCTTTTTCTTTTCGCAGATTCGAATATTCCGATGGTTCGAAAACTGTGAACAATGCCTAACATCGCCCTGAGGATCATCATTCTGAAGCCAATT